TGAAATTTTTCGAGAAGAATCCATGCAGTACTTGAATCATATCAAGACTGAAAATTGAGTTTTGAGCAGCTCCACCTAATATATATAAATTATATATATAAAACACACACACACACACACACACACACACACACACACACACATATATATATATATATATATATATATATATATATATATATGACATCATATATTATGAAATGGACAAAGTCCGACAATTATTTAAAGACATTTTTATGTTTATACATTCTTTTTATAGATACAAATATTCAAGTAAATGCTCTGTTTATAAACAGAGTATATATATATATATATATATATATATCCCAGTCAGTTCATTATTATCTATCTCTGTCTCTCTCTCCCTCTCTCTATATATATCGCCGTCGTCACGGTTGATGTTTATGTTTGACATGACTTGTGAGGCCCAGTCGGAGGTAGAATAGTCGCGGACAGTGCTCACAGGGAGGGGAAGGGAGGACAGGGTCGTTTACAGAGCTCGATTCTCCTTCGTCGCCTTGCCTATATATATATATATATATATATATATATATATATATATATATATATATATATATAAAAACTTAATCTCATATATATATAAATAAAAACTTAATCTCATATATATATATATATATATATATATATATATATAAAAACTTAATCTCAAATATATGTATATGATAAAGTTATATATTTTATATATCAAGAACAGTATTGGAGAAATTGTATGACAAAATGGAAAAAAAATACTTGCGACGCGTTTCGTTCTTTAGGATTTCATCTGACTAAATTTGTTATGTTGGTAGGACTACACAACATATATACATCCTATCTGAAGTTATTAAGCAAATCATATAAAACTCAATCAGCTAAAATTTTAAGTAGAATCATTATGTTTTATTGAAGTTGTGTGATATATTCGAAAAATGCCGTCTGAATTTATTAGGCAAAACCAACTAATCACATTTTACTTGAATAAAAAGGCAATAAAATAATCAAAAATTAATCAACACCAATAACAGAACAAATAACTAACACATATAATAAGTTTTTGGATCCTTGACATTTTAATATGGTGACTATTCTTCTCAATAACAGACAGTAATCTATTATCCATTGATTTTGTTAGTTTTTCTTTCTTCTGCAGGTTCATTTTCCGACATGATAGTTTTAATTACTTCCCATTGGTCTGTTTTGCTTTTATATCGTTTGCATTCTTCATCTAATTTAATCGTCACAATTCACTATAGATTTTCGATCGGAATCTGATCAGGACTTGATGCTGGCCATACTTTTATTTTCTCTTCTGTAAATCATTTGTGCTCAAAGAAATCACGGGTAAGTTTAGATACATGGGAAGAAGCTTTGGCGTGCATAAATGCAGACTTCATTTTGGAACTGAGAATCTGGGACTTGAACCAAGCAAAGAAAGTCTTGTTCATATAATCATAATACTTAGCACTGTTCAGTTTAACTGCTTAATCGAATTTGAATGGTTCAATAATGGTAAGTCGATAATCCCAGCCTATATCATAACACTACTGCCTCCTTGTTGCCTTCTTTTGGCCACAGATGTGTCTGAATTTGATAAAATCTATCCTTTGGCACATCCATCAGGTCCATCATATATCAATCGTGATTCGTCCGTGAAAATTACTTTAGAAAAGTCATTTTTTATGGATTTCTTGGCTCAATTTTGACGCTTTAAAATATTTGCTTTCGTGAGAGGAAGTTACCTAAGAGATTTCTTTACAGATCCCAATTCACAAAGAATTCTACAGCTTTTTTCTTTTTTTTTTCCTTTATGATTCCCTTAATTCCAGCCTTTCAAGGATTTGAACACATCTCAAAAGTGGTTGTTTCGCTATAACTAACTTTAGTTTACGTAAGCAAGTTCTTGAAGCCTTTTCCTTTGCTTCAAGTTCTCAACTTATATTTTCAACAATCTTCTTTATCGTACGATGATCTCCGTAAAGTTCTTTTAATATCACTAATGAGGACATTTCTTCACTCAATAACTTTGTTATTTTCTATTTTTCAGCAGATGTTAGATCCTTCCATCTACCCATGATTCAACATACATTAAGGATAAAAATAGTTTTTATTAGATCTCAAATGTATTAAACTAAGATTAGTTTAATCTGCATATTACCATCTATCAGTCCATTTTCGTAAATTCCAAATATCTAAAAAAAAATAACCATTAAAAATGGCAGAATGCTTAGTTAAACATTTTACTAAAGATGGAAATAGACAAGTAGCAATTTGACAAATATTGGTTCAGAACTTTTTTTTGAGTTAATGGGTTTATTAGATTTGCATAGTAACTTCAGACATGCTTTATACATACATACATACACACACACACACACACACATATATATATATATATATATATATATATATATATATATATATATATATATATATATAAAAATCAAAGTCAATATTGGCTGTGACCAGCCACAACTGCTAGTTTCATCATATATATATGATCTTTGTAATATGTCAATATTTATAACCCACTGTAAGATAGTGCCGTAGTTAATTTACTTATAAAAAGAAATTTTTCAATTTAATAGAAAGAAAATAAATAGACCGAAAAAATTAATTCAATTAGAAAATGAAAATGTGTATACTGCGTGTCTCAATACATATATATATATATATATATATATATATATATATATATATATATATATATATCAAGTATCATTCGCATTTTAATTTACATTACATGAATCATTCTCTATCTTTTTTTTGAATGAATATTCATATATATATATATATATATATATATATATATATATATATATATATATAGGAAGAAATATAGCTTTAAGGTATGCTGTATTTATGGAATAAAGTGCTCAGTATCAGAGAGGGAGCGTATCTAAATATAAAAGTGAATATTGAAGTCAACACTCAGAAGCGATAGACTGTTTCATGCTAGATGCAGTCATCAGGCCACATGTGTTGTATTTTTTTTTAATTAATCGAAAAAAACACAACTCATGTTAGCCTGATGATTGAGTTTAGCATGAAAAATTGTTTCGCCTCTGAGTGATGACTTCAATGTCCACTTATATATATAAATATTAAGAGAGAGAAATAGAGAGAGAGAGAGATAAAGAGAGAGAGAGAGAAAGAAAGCCTCTTATAGAGAGAGTTAGATAGATTTTGAGTTTAATAAGGAGTAGAAGTATATATTAATAATAATCTCCTCTCTGCTGTGTCCCTTACATTTTTTGACATTGATGGCTTTCCATAACTTCTCATTTTAGCTTTAGTAATCTTTCTCTTTTTCTCAAGACTCTTATTTTTACAAGCTGGTGAGGTAAGGCACTCCTTGCTTTCCCTTGTACCCCTTGACTTCAATATGTCCTGTGAGGTTAAAATTCTCTAAGCGTTTATTCACTAATTGTGTCATAGTAATTTCAGTTGTCCCTTTCTGATTCTGAATATAATCATCCTTTTAATTTCCAATTTCCCTAAATCTTCCTCATTTCTCACATAGGTTTTTGATTTCAATTTTTTCCTTTTCCTAGAGTGGTTGTCAAACACGGTTAAAGAGCACAGCCTTCACTGTTAATTATCGCATAACTTAAGGAGGTAAAGAGATGAATTCTTGTGGAACCAACTCTCAGGGTGATGCGTCCCCGATCACGGCGATCTCAACCTGCTGATGTCTACCGTTAAACTTATCTTCCTTACATATCCGCGTAAACTGTGCCTGTTACTCTGTAACCCCCTCCCTAGAGTAGTGAACATCGTTCTAAAAAAATGTCCAAGTCTATTTGGGCGAAATTTAATGTAACTTACTCGCTAACCAATTTATTCTTTCGAACTGATAACAATTACACCACCCCTTTTTTTTTTCAGTAAAGCTTTATCCAACATAAGGCCCCAAAGCCACTCACGGTTGGGGTTTTACTGAGTTTTAGGAGCATAAGAGGAAGATGTAAGTGCAGGTGATGGACATACGGGGATAGATAATGGTTGAATCTAGACTTGAATTGGTTAAAGTTGTAATGATCAAGTAAGCATCCTCTCGGAGTAGAGAGAATGGATTTTTAAAAAAATCTATATATAAAATTCTGAGACTTCTGTCCGTCCGTCATACCCTCTAAAATCGCCAGACATTGAACACTCGAAACAAAATTTTGGAGATAAATGTAAGGGGGTAAAATAACAGTTAGTCTTACTAGGGTGCGTAGCTTAGTACAATACAATTTTATTAAATGTTTTGGAAACATTAAAAGTGTATCATTTAACATGCAAAATACATCCACTATTTTAAAAACAATTTAATGATAAAAATAAAAGAAATACTTATTTAATAAAAATGCAATTTTTTTATATATATCTTTTCTTTAAACTTTTTATACAAGAATCTAATTTCCAGTTCGCCCTCCGTTGGCGAGAACTAAAAATAAGTCACAAGGTCAAACGATTTAAAAATTTGGCTGAAGAAAGAAATATTTACGCATGGCCAGTTGTATGTTGCATACTCAAGAGTAAGAAATCATTAGAATTTAAAAAAAAAAAATTCTTAAAAATAGTGTTTACCATGAAATTCTATAAAATTAAATTAAAGAAATTATAAAACGGCGAAGTAGGGTTTTTGTTGAGTCATAAGTATTAGATTTTTTGGAAAAAAGTGTCTGATTTTAGATTGAACTTCTATTCTTTAATTAATATATTTAATCAGTCAAAATAGGAAGCCTAAACATCTATGAATTGCTGTCAACGAGCTAAAAGGTTATTTAATGCATTTACGATAAAACTCTAAAGGTTTGAAGGTCAAGAAATATTTGAATCCAAACCAATCAGCTTATACAAAATTTCAGTTCAAAATTTCAATCAGCTTATACAAAATTTCCTGGTTTTGATATTGAACGAAATCTCAACAAAAAACGTTAGCGATAACTTTAACAATATTAAATGCTTTGTGGGTTTCAAAAAATTGTAGTATTTAAAAAACAAAACAAACTTACCAGCTGATTTTGATAGGCCGTTACAGCAATAAATACAGTTTCTGGGAAGATGAATGTTCTAAACTCTTCGGCTTCCAAATTTGTGACGGATGTCGACGACAAGTCCTTTTTCCGTACAATATGCACTCTCGGTTGATATTTATGCATCGAATTTAAAATGATCTAAAAAAAACAAAAAACAAAGATATTTATGTAGTACAAAAAAACTGCAACTGTGATGGTGGGTGCTGAAATCTTCTCGGCTCGACCAAGAAGAGACTGAAAAACAATTCCCCATATTTGGTCATTTGATAAGATGTCGCAAAAATTAATCGGGCTCAGAACTTTCCCGCATACCATCGTATATCAACTGTAACATATTCTATATATATGTCATCTCTCCTGTTGAGTCATAAGTATTAGATTTTTTGGAAAATAATGTCTGATTTTAGACTGAACTTATATTCTTTAATTAAGGTATTTAATCAGTCAAAATAGGAAGCCTAAACATCTATGAATTCCTGTCGAGTTATAAGGTTATTTAATGCATTTACGATAAAACTCTAAAGGTTTTGAATGTCAAGAAATATTTGAATGTTGTATGTGCATCTTCTTTGCAACGAAGTGTCATTTGCTTAAACAAGTTATCAAATTCTGAAAGATATAGATATAAAATTAACAAAGAGGACACTTTAATCATTAGGAATATTCTATAAATTCTAAAACCGGGAAGTAGAGTTTTCGTTAAAGTATTTTTCCAAACCAAACAGCCTCTACAAATGTCATCGATTGGTTTACGAAATTGGACGAAACGTAGAGGTTAAAAATCATGTTTCCATCGCTATACAAAATTGCGTAAAATGAAAAAGCAATTACTATTAATTTATATAAAAATATCTTTTTCGCGTTCCCAACTCACCAAATTTGACTTTAATTTTGAAAGGTCACGATAGTTTAGATGAGGTTTATTTTTAATGAGTTATAGATTCACCTTAATGTTCAAGTCTCAATTTTTAGCATGGGATTGATATTTTTTATGATATAAGGTTGTTCTGAAAATAATGCCCATTTTAAAATCAACGTATGCATAATCCTAACTATTCCTTATACCATAACATGTGATGAAAACTGGTGACATACGACAATGTTTAGAGCAAAAGGCAGTTAACTGACACGGAAAAATCTCCACAACTGATGGCAAAAGCTGAGTTTCATTGGAAAAAATTTATGTTATCCATGTGATGAGATTGTCTATGTATTATTCTTCTTCATTTATTAAAACGCGACGTAAAACTAAATTAACTTTTATAAGTCCAGCAGCTGGAAAGTGTCCATAAAAGTTTGGTTGAAAAACTCCCTGGGGTCATCATTAAGAAAGTTTTTTTTTCTCTCCCTGACAACGCAAGGCCATATTTAACAAGAATAACACAAGGGAAAATCAACTTTGGTACTCGTTTGAGTTGTTCTCCCCCTCACCCGTCATATGTTCTTGACCTTTCACCAAATGATTATTATCTTTTTTCGGTCAATACAAAAGGATATGATGAGGAAATTTATTTTTTCTTAAATGAAAGCCAGATCCAAGATGTTGTCGAATGTTTTATCACAACAAATCTGCGGAATTTTGCTAGTTATCGAAGAGTAGCCCGATAAGTAGAAACAATTTCTTGCAAATAATGATGAATATATAAATGAATAAAATGTAATTTTTTATTATTTTTTCAAGAACAGAGTTGATAAATATTAACATAAATTATTTTTGATACAACTTAATCGTAAACATATGGTACCTGTTACATATCAAGGAAAATAAAAATTTCAACAAATTTTAACTTAGAACCAGGCAAGAAAAAAAGCGGTTTATCGAAAGAGCTTTCTTCTGCTGACATTTCTATTATCTTGCTCTCATCTCCGGAATTCTTATTGTTTTAAAAAGCCAATTTAAAATTTTAATAAAGTCATAATATATAAAAGTCAATATTGAACTGAATTCGCGCCATATGAACAATTTAAAAAAAAACTATAATCAGAGGTCGTCGTCGTCGGTTTTATCTCGTATCCAAGAATTTAATTTTTTCTTTGCTGATGGCTTTTCTTTATAAAGATGGCGTTGATGACTAAATTCACCGCCAACGTGCAAGTTCAGAACGAGAAGCTTGCATATCTGTCTATATCTCTGAGATGAGGTATTATGATTACTTGCATTATTTACATTATTTGGCCTGCTATCCTCATCTTCATTGCCATATTCACAACGTTTCGGCCGTTGTACGCTCCGGCTTTCTTCAGTTGGTTGTAATTTCGAATCGAACCATTTATCTCGTCCGGTCACCTGAAAAGGGCCGGATCGTACAAAGGTCGAAACGTTGTGAATATGGTAGTGAAGATGAGATTAACAGTTCGTACAATGTAAATAATAGAAGTTTCCACTTTCACCAATACCTGCTACCGTCATCCATTTTCTATCGCCATTTTGCTTCGCAAGATTTGGTGAGTAAAATATTCTGATTGCGTGAATTTGTATATAGTAATAATAAAATACTGCGTGATGTATACTAACACGCTATAAATTATATATTAATAACAAATATACATTTTCTCCTCATCATTAGCACAATTCTGAGTTTCATGCAAAATGCAATCGTCAGGTTCTGATTGAAAACACTTTTCCATTAAATAAATTTTTATGGTACAAAATTTAACAATAGTTAGGAATAAGCGAAATGTGTATGGCATTTGAAAAAGCTAAAAAAGACTACAGATTTCGTCCTAGCCTTATCAAGTTTATTTCTGTGATTAATAATATATATATATATATATATATATATATATATATATATATATATATATATATATAATTTAATATTAATGATAACGGATGGAAAAAAATATGAATTTCAAAAAAGCTAGAGTTAAATAACATTCAGACCCAGTAAGGATTCCCTCTGTTTACAAAGGGAAGGCTCACGGGATCTGATATACAAGACTCTAGAACCTTTAGGTGATATGAGGAGTGGGACCTAGATAAATTCGAAAAACGGTCCACCATGAAATCTAGGACACAATTCCTCCCATTTATTATATGCTCTGCAATAGCAGAGCCGGATGTATTGATTAGCTGACTGATAATGGCGTTGTGCATCAAACTCAGAATTGTGCTAGTGGTGATAATGAAAATGTTATCTAGTCGTCATCGGCTTTATTTTGTATCCAAGAATTTAATTTCTTCTTTGCTGATCAATTCCTTTATGATGATGACATTAATGACTAAATTCATAGCCAAAGTGCAGGTTCAGGACGACTCATCATCATCATCATCATCATCATAATCCTCCTTCGACGTCCCTATGGTTGGTCAGAGCGCCACTGACAATCCCTTACCACACTGATCGGTCCTGCATTGCCGTCTCCAGATCCCCATTGTCCAACCCTGAGTCCCAATCCATGGTGTCTGGGAATGTCAAATTTCGCGATAAGACACCTCCAGAAGAATGCCATAGAAGTAATGATAAGACGACCTCCCCCTCCACTCGCTGGCAGTGACCGGCAAACTGCAATCGCTTTTGTTTGAACTTAAGTAAGATTGGTCTCAATTCTCCGTAAATTGTGTTAAATGTTCCATGGGATCTCCAACTGATGTTCTGGATTTTTCTAAGTAGATTTATATATTTTTCATCCAGTCGTCTTTCAAGATGAACAGATGATATCCAAGATTCTGATCCATACAGTAGGACTGGTTCAGTCAGTGTTCGAAAGGTTTGAACTTTTAGAGGATGGAAGGTTCGAATGCCAAATCTAGTGAAGTTTGTTACACGCATGTCATGCAAGAGCATTGTCGATGTTGAAGCCTTTTTGTGAATCTATTATGTGAGATCCAAGATATTTGAAGTCCTCAACTCTTTTGATGGATGTATTATTGAGTGATTTCAACTCGGATGATTCAGGGGAGTTTGTTGATATATTCTGTCTTACTCTCGTTGCAATAGAGACCTACCTGGTTCCTCGCATGCTCGAATGATTGCATCAAGGATACTGCATCTTTGATACATTGAGAAAGTAATACAAGATCATCGGCAAAGTCAAGGTCAGTCAGGTCTTGTGGCGGCTACCGACTGCTCTGACGATGTTTCAAAAGGAGCCATTTTCCTCCATGTTGTCGAGAGAGATACACAGAATATAATCCAGAACAACTATAAACAGAAAAAGAGCAAGTGTGTCGCCTTGTAGAACGCCTCTTTAACTTAAAAGGAATCAGTCTTGCTATTAGGTTAAGCAATGGTGGCAGGGGTCATTCTGTACAGAGCTCTAATTGCCTCAATAGTTCCGGAGGGTATACCATAGAGTTGGAGGATTTTGAATATGAGATCTCCGTTGATAGAATCAAACGCCTTGAGAAAGTCAACAAAACAGATTGTGATGGCTTTGTTGAATTTTTTCATCTCTTCCATAATTCGGCAGATGAAGAGGGTTTGAGCAGTTGCCGACCTGCCTCTTCTAAATACATTTTGGTTCTTGGAGTGGAGTGGATTGATTTTCTGGGCAATTTTACCGCTATAGTTAGACACACTTGTTAGGTCACCTTTTTTTGGAACAGGGACTATTCAAGACTAGAAGCTTCAAGTTTCACAAAAACCTTCTCCCGTCATCCATTCCTTATCGCCATTTGCTTTGCAAGTTTTGTTTGAAGGTGAAAGAAAATCAGAGTAAAAGAAAATGCCGATGGCGTGAACTTATTTAAGGTGGGCCTCAAATTGTCAGGAATTGACCCACACATTGATTTCATGACCTTCTTTTGCTGCATATTTGTAATGAGACATGAAGAATCCTGTTCTGAAATTGCAATGGACTACCACCGACTCTATAATTTCGAGTGGCGCCTTTTGTAACATGTCAGCCATGCGTATTCCTCTTCAAACGTTGTAAGCGGCATCTTCTTGTTCCAGTATTCGGGTATTTGGGGTTAATCACGCTTAGTATTCTGAAGTAGTTATGACTAATTACAGCATGAAAAAAAATTAAAGTATAAATCCAGCTTCTTATGCTACGGTGTTATTAAAATTTCAAAAAGTACGGTTCAAAAACGAAGAAAATGACCTATATATATATATATATATATATATATATATATATATATATATATATATATATATATATATATATATACAGGTGTCCATAAAGTTCGTGTGCAGTTTAAAAGATTATTGGTATTTGCGATGAAAATAATTTGTAAAAAGGATTAGAAAGAAGTTTATTGAAATTTTATTTAATTTTCCACATGTCCTCCATCATTAGCAATACAAAGGGTAATACGATTTTGCAGTTCACGGCAAACATTTGCCAACTGATTTGCAGTAATGCCTGAAATCACATTAGTTATTTTAGCTATACTTAAAACTAAGTACATTAAACTTTATAACATTTTTCACAGATTATTTCTATCGCAAATACAAATAAAGTTATAATTTTTTAAATTGCACACGAACTTTATGGACACTGCATTTACATACATATATATATATATATATATATATATATATATATATATATATATATATATATACATATATATATATATATATATATATATATATATACATATATATATATGTATGTATATATATATATATATATATGTATATATATATATATATATATATATATATATATATATATATATATATATATATATATATATATATATATATATATATATATATATATATATATATATATATATATATATATATATATATAAAAAAAAAAGAAACACCCTTATTTATTTATGGACTAAACTTACCATAGATTAAGATGACTTAAGATTAACTATGGCTTACGCCTTCGGGAATGGCTAAATCTTAAAGTGGATAGGGCGACGTACCGTAAATGAATCGTCATCAAGATCACGACACCTAACGCCACAATACCGTTTTCTTGTGGAGTCTACTAAAGTCTCTTCTTTATAGGCCCAAACCGAAAGCAATTCGTGAATTAAAACAAATTTTCCTAAAATTGATGTAAATGGTAATGGACGCGAGGCTGCACGGTTTTATCAGTTTGCCTTTCCAGACCGATGGCAGCCGAATTATCCAACCATTTTTTATTATTTATCTTGAGGTTGCTGAGACAGGATTTGTAAAAGTAATTGTGGATTGTATCTTGGATTGTACATTTAACAGCGTATACTGTAAGCTTTAAACTTAAAAGCACAAAAAAAACGAAGGATTTGCAGTAATAAGTTGATGTGAACTTTTATCTTTGTTTCGGTGTGAGGAACATTTGATGCACCATATATATATATATATATATATATATATATATATATATATATATATATATATATATATATAAAAAAAAAGAACAGTAAGATATAAAATCCGGTGTTCTTATAGATATTTTTATTTTTACAAAATAGTGCTCAATGTAAATTTACAGAGCATTAATATTATAAATCAATTGATTTATATACATACTCTTGCTCCTAATCAAAGTCGAGCACTCTAAATAGCGAAAAAATACATATTTTAAATCAATTAATTTATAATATATATATATATATATAAATATATAATATTAAACATATAATATTAGGCAGCATATATTTTATATATAAAATAATAATCACTTGAAAAATTGAACTTTAGCGTTGCGACTCGCACGTTTCGAGATTGCACAATAAATACCGCATTCTTAAAAATCATCTTTCGGTCGACAAACAATTATTTCGTCTTCAAGTTTTAACTTTAAAGGAAAAAAATTACAGCCTGATGATGGAGACATGGATCTTCGAAAGTACTTGCTTAATTGTGTATTTTTAGGCAGCAATTTTTCATTAATGCATGTTTCATTAAATAATATAGACAAGTTTTGTCTATTTATTTTTAAATAAGTTCCTTTCATATTGTCTGATAAGCAATGACATTATCGTTGAAAGACGAAAGGAAAACACCATATTGATATAAACCATTATCAAAGATGACAATTTCAATATATCAAACAACACACAGACGAAACAACAATGATAGTCCTCCCTTGCTGCATAAAAAATTTCAAAGCAACAACAAACTCATATACGAGACGCGGAAGCGAAAATCGCGTCGCAGCTCGTGACGTCACACATGACCACGCGAGAGCGAAAAAGACGAGAAGTATTAAGTATGGGAAGCCGTTGATATAAATATTTGCTGAGATTTCATAGTTTATTTTGTTCAGGGTAATTTTCAACTGTTTTATGTATATAACTTCAAGAATTTTTAATATTTGTTTATTTTTTCATGTTTAAGTATAGTTGTGTTGTCAGCAATGATTTTCTGTAACTGAGTACGCGGCCAGGCATGTTGTTTTAAATAGACAAAACTTGTCTATATTATTTAATGAAACCTGCATTAATATATATATATATATATATATATATATATATATATATATATATATATATATTAAGTATTTTTTTCTTTGAAATAAAGAGACGTTATTTATCAAGTATGAAAATGGTAAACAATAATAAAAGAATATTTTCTGGCAAGCATCGAATAATTTTTAAACTCTCAATAGTAAAATTCAGAAATGTTTCAATGCAAATCAACTTACGTGTCCGTTTTTGTCCAGCATGTTGTTGGTCAGTTTCAGCTTTTCAAAAGATACCGTTTGCTTGTGTAACTGTTCACCTGTAAAAGGACAATCTGGATGCACATAGAAACGCGTGGGTAGAGGGGGATCAGCCTTTCCGGCCACCAGCCATGATGACCTGTGGTAGGCATATCTATAACGCTTGCTGTCTACTGGTACAATGTCCATTAGAACCATGTACTTGGTATCGGCTTCCAGACCATTAAAGGAGACTCGTATGGTAGGAAACATCCTCCTATAACAAGAGAGAAAAGCGAAGCAATTAAGAAAATGAATTAGTTTTTTTACTAAGCAAATAAATAAATAAATAGAGGTACCATTTTATCGCGGTTTTCCTTCAGAGATTTTCACCATCCGCGGCCAAATCCAAAATTAAATAATTTATAATGATTCGTTAAAAATGATTCCAACGCGCTTAAGTCCTGATACCGGTTAAATTTGATAAAGTAAATTTCATGTCTAAAATAAAATCATAAATTTGAAAATAAGGGAAAGCCAAAGATATATGCTAAAAATGCTAAGATTTACAGTAAGAACGAATTATCCATCAGTCGTTTTTACCTATATATAAAATTCTGTGAAATTCGTTATTCTGCCCGTCCGTCACACCCTCTAAAACAGCCAAGTGTACATAGGTAATGGGTTACACATGACAGTATTACATTTTTAAATATAATTTTACGTAATCTGCCTAAACTAGCAGAAATCAGTTGTTTTCAAGTGAAAACTTCATTTTGCTTACTTTTTAAGTGTTTTCGTAACTTTGCACACAACAATTTCTTAACAAGAATCCAGTTTACAGTTCGCCCTGAGTTGACGAGAAGTATAAACAAATCTTAAGTCCAAACGCTTCAAGAAGTTCGAATTTGAACTCCAGAAAAAAATATTTACGCATGGCCAGTATTATATTGCATGCTCAAGAGTAAGACATCTGAGAATTTATTTTTCGCCGTTAAAAGGCAAAAGGAAAAAAAAAGAAATGTTCTTGAAAAATTTTGTTTAACATGAAGTCCTATAAAATTAAATTAAAGAAATTACTAAAATTCGAAGTAGGAATTTTGTCAAAGTATTTTCCAAACAAATCAGTTTATTCAAATTTCATCGAATGATTTGAGAAATTGAACGAAACAGAGTTTGTAATCTCGACAAAAAATGTTACCGATAACTTCAACAATACTAAATACTCGAGGATTTTAGTACGCGTCAGCGTCTTGAACAAAATTCAAGTTACAGTAATTTTTTTTTTTAATTGTTCTATTTTTTTTACAGGGTGCGGCAGAAATTTCTCCCACATTTTAAACTGAGTAAATTTAGGTAAGTGCCAGTGGTGTTTTCAGCTACCTAATGACATTTTTTTTAAAAAAGAAACAATCAGTTACCATGCTTGAAGCAGTACACAGCCTGCGTTTGCTTTGGAAATATTTTTTCTTCTTTTTAATGACAGGTGAATCTGTAATTGCTACACAGGGAGCTTTTGGTGTGCATTTCAAATTACGCCGGAATTACATTGTTCAAGATAGAAAATCAATTCTGCTATGGGTTGAAAATTTCAGCTCCACAGATTCAGCTCTTGGAATAAAGACACCAGAAAGTCCTCGAAACAATCGAACTTCCGGGAAATGGAAGCGCTCGAACTTCCGGGAAATAGAAAATTTTCAAAAATAATAGAAATATCAGTTTATGACGAATGGTGGTAACCATTTGGAGGATTTCATTTTTTTAAAATGAAATCGATGAAATCTATAGCCCTTTGTTTAAATCACAGTGAAATAATCTTTTTCATAGCAGTTATCTTGATCATTTTGCCAACCTTTAAGATGAGGGAGGTATTTCTGCCGCACCATGTATTATTTATTTTTTCTAATTCTTCATTGCACATAATGTATGAATTATGTCTATGAATATCACTTCTATTTCTTATTTAAAAAAAAAAAAAAAAACTCAGTTATTGCGCCTTCTTTTTCCACACAGTATAAGTATGCACTACCCAGTACAAGGATTAAAATCACAAGTACCATGTCACCAAATTCGATAAGATATGTGTAGAAATGATCAGAGAAAACAGAGCTAACTCCTCATCACTCACAGATTGAATAAACGGTTCTGTTCCCTGAAGGTTACCCGGATGAAAACACCCTTATAAAAGCCGGAAGTGGGACGAAATTTGTTTGACCTTGAAAAATATTGCGGCGTTCATGATCGCATCATATTTTTATCACAGCCAGACAATATTGTCTCGGCTTTCGATTACTATTCATATGAGTATTGTCTGCGATGGACCTTACTCCAATGAAGCGTACAAAAATTGTAATGCTGCATGAAAACACTGGAGAAGCATTAATAGTGATCAAATCTAAGTACTATAGACTGGCCCAGAAACTCTCCTGATTTAAATCCAATCGAGGATCTGTGGTCAAGGAACGACTTCCTGGAATGGACATGCGAAGTACTAATATGTGCACTGGGTCATGTTTCATTCGAAAAAAAAAAAGACGAAAGAAATAAATAATAAGTTTCGTTTTGTGTCAATTAATTTGCACAACGGTGGAGGTGAATATGGCCCTCTACATCTTCCTAGATAATTAATTAGCACTAGGGCGTATGCTGTTGGAATATACATCATGTGAAACGCAAAGTGGAAAAATGCATTTTGTCCAATTCTAATGAATTAATTGAAAATCAACGCGGGCCGAATGTAAATAACTTCACGTAAGAAGATTTGTAACAATATGTGTACGTGTGTTAGTGCGAGAGTGTGTACTTATGTATGTGTGCGTGTGTGTTTGTGTGAATTTGCGGGTGTGTTATTGTTTGTGCGGTTGTGTTTTTGTGTATTAATGAATGCATGTTTAGTTGCATTGGGCTCGTGATCGAGTGATTAGAACGTTCGCTTTTCTGACCATGAGACCCGGGTTCGAATCTCACCATGGTCGATTTGCCAGGAAGGTGACTTCCTGATGTTATCGGTCTGGTGGATGCGATCCCAGCGTGCGGAACCTTTGGAAAGTGCTTGAAAAAAAACATACTCAGGACTTGTGAGCAAAAATTGGGTAGACGGCACCCTTAAGAGCTGTTGGTGGTTATTCTAGCACAAAGTCACAAGTCATCGTGACCGAGGGCTTAAGTGTGCTAGTCTTGTTCTCTCTCAGATACTGTAACAGCATAGTTGCAGTATAAACCATACATGGGCTCTATAGGTGCTGAACAAATACAAATGTCACTGAGCCGGCGTCTGCAATGGGGATTAGCTAGCCGCCCTAGTAGACAGGCATCAACAGATTCTAGTGACTGAGCCATTTACCTATAATTAGTCGTGTGGGATTTTTGTGCGTCTCTCTGCGTGTGAGTTTGTGCTATTGTCTTTGTCTGTATTTGTGTGTGTGTGTGTGGTTGTGTTCGAGTTTGTGTGTGCTTCTCTGTCGTTGTGTTTGCGTGAGTATTGTGGTGTGTGCGTTTGTATATTTGCGTGCGTGTGTTTCTGTGGTTGTGTTTACGTGTGTTATTATGTATGTGATTGTGTCTGTGTTTGCGTGTGTCCATATGTTTCTGTGTGTGAGCGCTTGCACGGTTTTGTTTGTGTCTACCATTATGTATGTCTGGGTTTGTGTTTGTGCATGTGCCTGGGTGTGTATGTTTGTGTATGTTTAGTACTTGTGTTTGTGTGTTTAGTATGTGCGTGTTTAATCTGGATGTGTTTAGTGTGTGTTTAGTGTGTGTTTTGTGTGTGTTTTGTCTGTGTCTGTGTGTGTGGCTGTGTGTGTCTGTGTGTGTGAAGTATTCAGCCACCAGGGATGTTACTGTCGTGGTTTCCAATAGCAACTTCTTTGGGTTTGCTAACCCCACAATGAACAGGTGTTCAGTTGAGAGTTGTCTTCCTTCTAGAATGTTTGTCAATCAAATCTACCGACTCCAATCAAACACTGCCGTTACCCGAGCTGCTGGAGAGAAAAGACAGGTGCATAGGTTTCCAAGAGTATTTCTGCAAAGGTAAGTGCAAAGGACTCGGATGCAATTTGAACTCAACACGCAATCATACACTTCCCACACAGTTAACAGCCACAGAACGCACTTTTTTTTCAACTATATCTAAAGGATATAAATTTTGAATTAAAAAAATATTAGTCAAATAGGGTTAACAAATTTTCAGTTTGAAGTCATTATTGATAGCCTTTTTCTATGGTGGAAAATAATGAGTTTATTACGGTCTGTTATATTTGTATAGCTCCCAGTTTCTTTTTTTAGCACTTCTTAAAATTAGTCGCATGGTGTATGAGGTTGGGCTAAAAAGTCGAAATGCTATGAAGCAGTGAAGCAGTAACTGTTCTGATGAGCTATGAAATTGTTAGGTACCTATTCTTTGGTAATAGACTCTCCCATAGATAATAAGTAGGAGTAGCAGTGGCAAGTCTGCAGAACGGTGACTGCGGTCTCCTGACTGCATTAGACGCCTCGAGGCTTTGCCGAACTCTTTCTCCATTAGTAGGAGAACAGGGCCTGAACCCGTTTAATCGGCTTCAAAGGCTTTTTTTTTGAACGGGCTCGGGGAAACCCACATAAAAACCGGCCTTGTTTCTTTCCATGGGTGAAAAAGATAAATACCGAACGGTGTTGAGAAGTCTCTGAACCCGTTTGTCGAATCTGCCTTAGGCCGAAGGGCTATTTTTTCCGGGAAGATGGCGTGAACCCGTTTAATCGGCTTCAAAAGGCTCCTACGGGAAAACCCACAATAAAACCGGCCTTGTGCCATATTCGTTTCCGTGGGTGAAAAAGATAAATACCGAACGGTGTTGAGAAGTCTCTGACTGCGGACATCTTCTGTCGAACTCTCTGCATTAGCAGAGGAACCCAGACGAGGCTTTGCCGAAGGGCAAGGTTTCGTCCGGGGGGAGGTAGTCAGGGCCTGAACCCGTTTTAATCGGCTTCAAAAGGCTATTTTTTTTGGCCGAGCCTACGGGCTCGGAGAAACCCACAATAAAACCGGCCTTGGCCTTTCGTTTCCAAATGATTCCGAACGGTTTCTCGACTGGTCGAAAAGATTAAATAACCGAACGAGTTTGCCGAAGGGCAGTCGTCTGACTGAACCCGTTTAATCGGCTTCAAAAGGCTATTTTTTTGGCCGAGCCTACGGGCTCGGGGAAACCCACAATAAAACCGGCCTTGTGCCATATTCGTTTCCCGTGGGTGAAATGATAAATACCGAACGAGAGAAGCTTTGCCGAACTCTCTGCATT